AAATAAGGCCCTGTGCTTGCTAATGAAACCGGGGAGTTTGCTGGAGAAGAGCAAACGGTATATATCTTCTTGGCTCATGCACAGTAGAACACCTGCGAAAGAAAAAAAGAAAGAAGAAAATTTCATATCAAACGTAATGAGATAATAGCACTTCAAGGAAGGAACAAACTCTGCTAAACTTGTTCAGTTTAAAATATATTACAACTGTATTTTATTATTATATTTTAATATCTCAAGCGACGAGGTGAACTCGCTCGCAGGTGAATAAATTTGAGAACGGAAGTGGGACTAGGGTAGGCAGCAAAAGCTGTATTTAGCGGTCGTCGGAAACAATACAGTAGTATGCTAGGCCACAAAAATCTCCTGAGCCGACCAAGCATAGAAATAAATACAATATGGGAACCAGTAATAAGGAGTGCCAGAGAAAAGTGATAATAACAAAGTTGCAATATGAACTCTGGTAAAGACATGCAATGATAACAGAAAAAATGCAATATGAGCACTGGTAAAAATGATGCTGAAAACATTAGGTTTATAATACTCAGAAGTTCATACGCAGATGTCCTCAAGGACACATGGCGTCTGCACAGTGGATAAAGGCGTTGGTTAGATCCAGTGACAGACCCAAAGAAGGTGAGTTCAATACCTCGTTAAGGGAGTGGAGAACTTTTAAAGGAAAAATTCGCAGGAGATAACGGATAACTGACATCCATCAAACTAGAACAGTCTACCCCAGTGATCGAAATAAAGGGTTCAGTTCGAAATTCCAACCACCTGAAGAAGGCCGGAGCGTACAACGAAGCGAAACTTTGTGACAAATATGGCGACAAAGTAAATACAATACGGCAGCTGGATTTACTCTACGAGTGCCTGAACTCAATTAAGTAATAGACACATTACAACAACATTGTGGTCACCTCGACATGGTGTAATGGTTAGCCAGCTTGTCTCACTAACATAATTACGACTGACTAGTGAGTTCGATCCTCACTGGGTGCCACATCCTTTCGGCTTTGGGCCACGTGAAAGGTTATGCTTAGAAAATCACCAATATGGCAACATTGATTTTCGTAGTTAAATTAGTATGTAAAAAGTTTTCTAAACTTATTTCTATAAATATTGAAGTAAATTAATAATTAAGCCTATTTTAAAATGTTTGGCTACAAATAAATCGTTTATTAAAAAAAAAGATTGATTAAAATTTGATCTGCAGACTTTCGATGTAAAAATAATAACGTCTGCTTTCTTACAATTTTTTTTTGTTTGTTTGTTTTTTGGTGTCGCAGTTGGGGGAGAAGAAAAGAAAAAAAAGAGAGAAAAAAAAAACGAGAAAGAAAGTACCCCCTGAAAAAGGAATCAGGTTTCTTTTGGTTTCATATTTGACCCGTCCCTTTTCTGGATGAGCGTGAAACTTAATTTTTTCTTTTTTTTCGAACTCTTGGAGAAACTCTACTAACACCATTAATATAACAAGAGATGGTGACAATAAGCTGAAACCTATCATAAGTGAATGCATAAGTCAAACAAAAAACGATATTGTCAGCACCGTTCTGTTGTCTTAAGTTTCCCTTTCATCGGTGAGGACATTGTCCATGTATTGCCCTTCTATTAGGATTAATATTAGATAGCAATTTAACAGACTTTTCTTTCTTTCTAAAGTAATTTCCCTAATAAGATAATTAATGGTTATTTCTCTTTTAGTAACCATTTCTAGGTTACAACAGGGATAATTATTAGGACTTGTATCAGTAAGTCTAAAAATAATTTATGTCTTCAGATAAATTGCAAAAGGTTGATAAACCATCAAAAACAAATAAATCAATACTTTACAGCAAAAATATTGAAAATAATTTTAATATTGCAATGCGTTGATGATTATATTTAAAAGAACAATAAAGTCAGTCATTAGGAATGAAAGCAAGCTTCGGCTTACGGCCGCCTTATGTTGAAACACCGATTCCCGTACGATCACCAAAGTTAAGCAACGTCAAGCCTGGTCAGTACGTAGATGGGTAACCGCTTGTGAATAACAGGTGCTGTAAGCTTGGATGTGCGAGTGGTGTAATGGATAATAACTCGGAATTGGTAATCGGAGAGCAGAGTTCCAATTCCAGTTGGATTCATTATAGTCACTTAGGCACAAATATCCTTTGGAAAGGTACCAATCCACTTCTCTCCCCGTCTATGGATTTATTAGTATGACTAGTGTTACTAAAAACATTATTATCTCAAGAAAAACAACTGCATACAAAAATATTTACATCTTGGAATTAAATAACCCATAGAGGTATTGATATGCCGCTAAACAAAATCAACCAAAGCAGTCATCACTGGCTATTATATCATACTTATTATAAAACCCAGGTTGTGTCTGTACGTTTATATATTGGATCGGATTTCCTACATTTTTCAACCGATTTCAACAAAATTTCACAGGACTGCGTAAAATTACCTTGCAGTGGTTCTGACAGCGCCAAAAATGGGAAAAACACAATTGTTTTTGCACGAAATCAATTTGAAAACACGATTAAGAGGCATCGCGAGAATGAAAGGGGGACAACTCATATCGAATTATACTTATTATAAAGCCCAGGTTGTTTGTGTGTGTGTGTGTGTGTTCGTTTATATATGGGATCGGATTTCCTACATTTTTCAACCGATTTCAACAAAACTTCACTTTTTTTGGCAGGTAGTGTTTCTTATTGTTTTGCACACTTTTTTCTTTATTTTTACATTCAGAATGCTTTAAAAATTCCATTTACAAGACAATTGTTTATAATAAAATTCTATTCAATCGGTAGACTCATAACGATTGAAAAACAATGTTTTTGTTTGAGTTTGGGTTTCACCAATTCGTAAAAAAAACCCCAACAAAACAAACAAACAAAAAAAAAAAACTAATTAAGACATCAACCTTAAACAATAATTTTTGTCAATTTTATTTTTCAGTCTTTATGATGGTCGATACTTGATCTATCTCTTACTGTTACATCCCCGGGCAACGCTGGGCTCTACTGCTAGTATTTAATATAAATGCATGGCTAATACTTTTCATACAGTCAAGTATTGAAATAGTTTTACTAGTGAAATACATTGATAATTATTTTAGGATAGAACTGTAGAAGCCATACTGGTAGAAGAAGTCTGTTGTATGTATAATGTAAATGCAATTGATTTTAATAGCATTAAAATAGTAGATTTTAATAGTGTTAACAAAATTATTTTTTAATAGATTTTAATAGATTTAGAATAGTTTAATGTCTGTTTATTAAGAATCAGGGACACGGATTAACATCTATCAAAAAATAATGCAAGATTTATTGATAGGCTAAAACCATTTTATGAGCATTTTATATGCTTTTATTTTTTCTTTTAAATTTTGAAGCAGTAAAGTAATCGGTGTATAAAAATCACGTACATCAGGGCGATAGATATTTTCTTTTTCTAGTTTAAATTGTGAGAAACTAATAAGTGTATCGATGACACGTGCAATGAAAAAGAATGTAATGAGACTCAAAACTTAGTTTTGCAAGATAACACTTTATGATTGCATGACGTGACATCGATGGTTTATTACGATTATCAGAAAATTGTATCTAAAGATATAAACTGTTTAAATTCAGTTATCGCTTTACTTTCAATGTCCGTTTCTTTTTTCTTTTTCTTTTTTATAGTTTCTTTCTTTCTTTCTTTCTTTCTTTCTCAATTTGATTCTTCCTCCTTCTTTCTCTTTTACTTTCGCTTTTATTTTGGCTTTAATTTTATACCTTTATTTTCACTTCTCTCTATTCTTGTCATTTTTACTTATATTTCTTCTCATTTTTTTTTGTACCGCTTCTTCTTTCAACACTTTTTTTTATCCTTTGTGTGCGTACAGTTCTCCTGTAATGTTATTTCGTACTTTCTTCCAATTATTTTTCATTTTCTTTTTTTCATTTTTTTCATTAATCTTTACTTTCTCTTCATTCTATTTCATTGAAATCGTTTTTATTATCTACCTTTTTTTTTATCACTGTCCTTTCTCTCTCTGTTACTTTATCTCTCTCTCTTTATCTTCTTTTAATGGATTTTTCTTTTGTTGTTCCTTTTCATTATCAACAATTTCTTCTTTTATTTCATTCCGTTTCAGCCCATTTTTCTCTCTTGTCTATTTTTATTTTTTTTCATTTTTATTTTGTTCTTTCTTTTGCAATTTGACACTTCCTCCATCTTTCACTTTTACTTTCGCTTTCATTTTCGGTAGAGGTCTATTTTTATAACTGTCTCTTCGTTCCTCTATATTCATGTTATTTTTATTTATATTTCTTTTCATTTTTTTCTTTACTGTTTCTTTTTTGATCATATTTTTTTTTATCCTTGTCAAACGACCATACGTTTTTAATTTTGTTTCTAAACACACCCTCTTATTGCTTCTTTCATTCCTCTTCCAAGCTTTTCAAATCTTTCCTTCGTTCTTTTTCTTGTGTGAATATTTCTCCTGTAATGTTATTGCGTTCTTTTTAACAATTATTTTCCATCTTCTTTTTTTCCCTTCATTCCATTTCACTGAAATCGTTTTTATTACCTATATTTCTTTTATCGCTGTCCTTTCTCTCCCTATAACTTTCTCATTCTTTATTTTCTTATAATAGCTTTGTCTTTCGTTGTTCCCTTTCAGTATCAACAATTTCTTCTTTCATTTCATCCCGACTCAACACTTTTTTTTTCTCTCTTGTCTTTTTTATTTTTTACTTGTTTTCTTTTTGTTTCTATCATTTTCTTTCTACACCCTCTCTCGACCATTTCTCTTTCAAGTTATATCTCTCATCTCCTCGCCTTTCCATTCTCTCTTTCTCCTTTAATTTTCCTCTCAACTATCTTTCTACATGTCCACTCTCCTCTTACTCTCGAATTCCTCTCCTGTCCCTACGCTTCCTATCACCACTCTCATTTCTCTAAACTCACTCTTCACTCTATTCAGATTGTTTTTAATTTCCGCATCTGATTGATTTTGACGTTCCCGATACGTAACCCACAACTTGGGCTGTCCATTTTGCTGACAACCACGCATTCCACCTTCTTGCAGTAAATAGTAATTTCTTCTTGCTTTCTTTCACTGCTTTCTTTAATAATTCTTTCAATTTTGTTTCTGAGTTTGCCATCTCCCTCTCAACTATCTTTCTACATTTCCACCCTCTCTCTCGAATTACTCTCTTATCTCTACAATTCTTTCTCCTCACACTACACCTCCCTTTCTATCTATCCTCCCACTATTCTGTTTACTTTTCATCTTACCTCTTTAATATTTCTACATTTCATCTCTAGTGTGTACACTGCCTCTCACCACTCTCCTTTCGGTCATCACATCTTAACTCCCTCCTCTCTCTCTTCTCACTTCCCTCTCTCATTACTCTTCTACCTATCTCTTCCTTTTTATCTACTTTACTCTCTCCCCTCTCTCTACACTTCTATTCACTCTCCTCTCTTTATACTTTTCTGCCTATCTCTCCCATTTCTATCTACACTCCCTCTCTACTCTGTTTCTCTCCTAACACGTCCTCTCTTTCTATACCCTCTCCTTTACTTCTAAGTATCTTCTCAACATTCTCCTCTTTCTTCCCCCTTTTCCCTCTCACTACACTCCTACTTTTTATATCTCGTCTCACGGCGCTCCTTTCACAACTTTCTACTCTCTCTGCGTTGCCACTCGTCGCTTTCCGATCTCTTGTATTTCCTCTTTTGTGTTACTCCTCTCGCTACATTTCCTCTCTTTTCTTCCCGCTCTCTCTATATTTCTTCTTATCTCTTTCCTCTCTCTCTCTCTCGCAACACATTTCCCCTCTAATATTTCCTCTCTTGTATTTCCCCCCTCTCTCTCTATATATTTCCTCTTCTTCATTTCGCTTTTTTTTTTTACATTTCCTCTCATCTGTTTCCCCCCTCTCTCTCTCTCGCTAAATGTATCTCTTCTGCTTTTTCTCTCTTTCTCACTACATTCTCTTCTGTTCCCCACCCCACTCTTTCTCTCTATATTTACTCTCATCTCTGTCCTCTGTCTGTCTGTCTGTTTGTCTGTCTGTCTCTCTTTACATTTCCACTCTCTTCATTTACACCATTTTCATTTCTCTCTCTCTCTCTCTCTCTCTCTCTCTCACTTATCTATTTTTTATCAACCGTGCACTATTTATAAGAGCAATGGAATAATACTATAAAAATATTACCACATAAAATAAAAACAATCTTCTAAGGGGAGAATGACAGAAGAAAAGGAAAGAAAGAGAGAGAGAGAGAGAGAGAGAGAGAGAAGAGAAGAAGCGGAGAGGGAAAAAGAGAGAAATATAAAAAGCGAGCGAGTGTGATACATAGATAGATATCTAAATACAAAGCGATAGAGATAGATAGATAGATAGATAGATAGATAGATAGATAGATAGATAGATAGATAGATACAAAGCGATAGAGATAGATAGATAGATCGATAGATAGATAGCTAAATACAAAGCGAGAGAGAGAGAGAGAGAGTGGGGGATAGAGAGAGTGGCATGAAATGTAAAATGGAATATAATATGAATTACTCTAATATGTTTATTGATTGATTTTAAGATTAAACTTTCCAAAAAAGTTAAATCAGAGAAAAATATTAAGGAATTACTCTCTTGTAGTCTGGTAATTACTTGCAGAGAATTTGTTTTTTTTTCTCTCAATATATTACGTTGAACCTAAATAAATATATTCTTTGGTAAAAAGACCGAAACCCCTAAGAAAAAGTTATTAGATTAAACAGTTTTGCTCAGTTAAAAAATATTTGCTTTACAGGATTGCATTTTCATTACTAATAAAAATAATATATAAAAGTTAGCTAATAAAAGTAATATATTCCAAATTTTCCCCCCAAATAATATTTCGAAATTGACCGAGTAAAATTGACATATCTAAAGTTACACAAAGAAAAAAAAAATTGTTAAAGTTAACCAATGAAAAGTAATATTTTCAAAATTACCGTGACGCTATAAAATTAATGTCTTCAGAACTATCCAAGAAAACTAGTGATCAAGGCTACAGGAAAAATCATGTCATAAGTTACTCAAAATAAGTCAAATTTAACTTATAAATGTAAAGTTAACTAATGAATGCTGTCTAGATTTCGCTATGAAGATAATGTATTCGAAGTTAATTAAAATAAGCAGGACTTTCAATGGTGTCTAATAAAAGCGGTATCTTTAACACTACCCCCCGCCAAAAAAAAAAAAAATGCCATTAAAGGAGATTTACTAATGATAAATTAGATGTTATTTTTTTACAGTATGACTCACTTTACAAAGCCCGGGGACCACTCGAGGGTTATGTTAGGGGACAATTTGTGCGTATAGGACTGAAGGATGACGGTTAACACTAGCCTAGAACAGGTTAAGATTGTAGTGATTTGGGTAACATTATTTTAGGAGTCGGTTCCACAGAACAGAGGCTTGCGGGAAGAAGCTGTCTGTGTGGAACTTTCTTCTAACCGATGGAATACGGAGGGAATGTGGGTGATTTGATACTATGTAAGTGGCATGGTATGTCATTCCGTGAAAGATTGAATTGGCGGGACCAGTAAATGCAGTTCGTTCGATGAATTTCCATCGAAGTAGCAATAGAGCACATTAGAGGCTTGCGACATCCGGCCTTGGGGAGAGAGGTTGGAAAGTGGAGAATAATTCGTCACCCACAAGGGCTTGGAGACGCCTTTGGCCTGGAGTGTGAGGGATTTTTTACCCTACAGGGTAGTTCGTGCAAGATCGGAAGAGCGGTCAGTCGCCAATCTCTGACTATCAAGAGTTTCAGAGGTAAATGTGGAACAAGCCCGGAAGTATGGGGCCCCCAGTGAAGATCGAACTCACTATTCAGTCGTCATTGATCTAGTCAGACAAGCTTGTTAAACATGGCATCGCATCGAAGTGCGCCAAGCAACGTCACTATAATCGATGATACATACGACCCGATGCTTCTTAGGGCCATAATACTGCTGCCCTGTGCTTTTTCTATAAATACCTTCATGGTAATTGTTCGCATGGACTCTTAAACTTAATTTAAGCGTACTAATAGATGGGCGGCAAGATAACATCAATTCACAGTTGAATTGGCTAGATTTAACCGTAACTTCTATGCTAACTTCCTTTTCTCACATTTCTCGCTTGTAAAATTCTCTTCCGGTTACATGCTCTCAAGCAAACTTTAATCTTCAAAAAATTAAATGCAATGTCAATCGCTATCTACTGTCTTCCTGATTACTCCTCTGCTATTCTCCCTCCTTAATATTATTAGGTTGGTGCAAAAATAATGACGTAATAATGTCGTTTTTTGACGTATTTTTTTAACGTCAAAAACGACATTCTTACGTCATTATTTTTTTGCACCAACCTAATACTACTCTTTTTTTTTCTTATTCTTTTACATTCAGCAACCTCTTGTACCTTAGTGGCTTTACTGTCTTGTATGGAGTAATATGATTAGAAATATAGCCAAAGAAAGATTGGTCAGGGTTTTCAAATGTGTTTCTCCGCTACAATTTCTTTTTCATCCTTAGAGTCAACCCCTCCCTCGATGAGCTATCTTTCTCTGTCTCTCTTCCTACTTCTCTTTCTTTCTTTCTTTCTTTCTTTCTTTCTTTCTTTCTTTCTTTCTTTCTTTCTCCTCTTTACGTTCTATGCTGTGGAAATATATATGGTCCTTTTATCTGCTGACCGTCAGCTATAATTAGGACCTTGTTTATCCAGGTGTCTTTTCAGTGATCACACTCGTGTAGTCTGATACCACGGAAAGATAACTCCAAGTTTTTTTTGATAGCTACGCGTATTTCGTATGATTGTGCTGAGCAGTGACTGACACGAACCAATGCTAACAACCTTGATTCAAACCAATGATATATGAACAAACAATGGAGTTCTTATCAAATAATAACAAGCAATATCCTGATAGGATTTTATAAAATCGGATCATATTATCCCGGCCAGAAGATTTTCTATTGTTTAAATGTCATATTGCTTAAATGTCATAACTCTTCACCATGTAGGCGGACATGAATCTCCACAGATACATTTTTTTTATTATTTGTGAATTATAATAAGCTCTTTAAAAAAATAACATACCAGTTTCTTAAATGTTTTGACTTCAGATTAATCCTTTTTCTAGACTGTCTGCCAACCAAGTCTAGAGAACCCAATTTTCTTAGCTATTTAGCTCACCTTTTATGAAATGTCATATCTCTTCATGACACAGGCGGCCATGGCTCGCTACAAATACCTATTTTTCTAATATCTGTGAATTATCGTAGCTTTTAGAGAAAGTAGTGGTCCCCCTTTGCATTATATATAGTGTTGAAATTAAAGTTTTCATTGTCTTAGACTTGCAGCCATCAAAGGTTTGAGAACTCATCCAACAATGCTATTTAATTCATAATTGGTGGCCACAAGACTAAATTCGAACAGATTCTTTCTGATCATATTTGCCGCTGTTTCGGCTAGATACAGAATGTAATAAAAAAAATTGAATAAATATCTAATCTTTGTCAGAAAATTAAGAAAATCTATCTCTATTACTGAGAAGTATTATGTAACTTATTTACATTATTCGGACTATTGTCCTCATTTCTTTATTTATGATCCTTCAATATTTATGAGGATCCTTCATTATACTCTGTCTATATTTCTGAGATGAGGTTATTATATCCTTACTATTTATTTACATTATTCGGATACTTTATTGTCCTCCTTTTGAGATTGGTATTAGTTCTCTTTGTTTTATTCATTACTATTATCCGATTCGGACTTCAATATGATAATTTGTCGATATTTCTGAAATGAGATTGTCTTTATGGACACTATTTCAATTATTCGGACTATTAGTTCTGATGAGATCTTCTTTTCTGATTATTAAAATCTAGAGGAGATTTTTTTTCTTTATGCGGATATAGACAGCAATCCAAAGATATTGTAATATAGCTCAAGGATTATAGACTTACTTTATATATATATATATATATATATATATATATATATATATATATATATATTAAGATATGTTTTTTAAAAAGAGCATGTTTATAATAAACAGTATTAAATGTTAAATTTACAGACCGCTAAATGTTATTTAATACTGTTTATTATAAACAAACATTTAAAAAAATACTTGTACTTAAAAAGAATGTTAAACATAAAAATGTCTTTAAATAATTGTCGGACTTTGTCCATTTCATAATTTATATATATATATATATATATATATATATATATATATAAGGTTAATTGTCAGATTTTGATTAGACAAGGAAAGAGTAGTATTAAAAAGTGCTCAATACATGTGTGATAATAAATAAAATTCAAAATAACATATAGAGCTTTTAACTTTAAAAATTAGGCGATCAATTTGTTTATCTTTTAAAAAAAACATCTAGCGTTATTTAGTTTTTTAGAAAATAAAGCGTTGGGAGTTTAATTGATAAAAATCGTCTGAGGATACCGTAAGGTTTAAACCAAGATAGAAGATTCAACTAATCTCCTGATTTTTAAAATCAGATATGAGTGTGATGAGACCGATCTTGCCCAAGTAAAGTGTCTCCTTTCTGCGATCTCTAGGCAAGGTTGGGGTGAGACCTTGATCAACTCTTAGCAGTCCCTAATCTCTCCGTGCCAGAGATACGGCGAAGCCAGTGCTAGCAGGCTAGTTGATTGAAGTTACTGAGCACTGTCTGCATCAAACTATTTCGTTATTAGACCCATGCCTAACAGGTTTTGAATTAAGAGCTATTTTTCCCTAGACTGGTTACCATCTAAAGCTAATGACCCCACACTGCCCGGTTATTAATCCGCCTTCTCCTAGACTTGATGCTAAACAAGGTTAGTGGTCCCACCCTGTGATCCGCTATTTATCGGCTTTCTTCTAGACTGGTTGCTAACTAAGGTTAATGAGTCAAGACTGCTATGTTGTTAAGCCCTATCTTGTACGGGAAGAAATCGATGCATGCCTTTCCCATGTTATTCACGCAAAAGCGAACGCTATGGCTGGAATTTTGACTCGACACACTAATCCCAATTTCTGCAATAACAGCTCCGTTACCACCACACCCGGAATTTGTTTCGTTACCATAATCATTTTGACATTCTACCACTTAGGTAAGTATCCCGTACTCACTACATCATACTTTCTAAATGAAAACATTTAAGTCAGTGGGAAATCTGTCTATATTTCTGAGATGAGGTGTTATGTTCACTATTTACATTATTCGGACTATTGTCCTCATCTTTGTTGCGATATTTATCACAGCGTTTCGGTCATTGTACGCTCAAAGTGGATAAAGGCGTTGGTTAGATCCAGTGACAGGACCCAAAGAGTGAAAGTTCAATACCTGGTTAAGGCAATGGAGAACTTGGAGAGGGGAATTAACAGGAGATAACTGATAACTGACATCCATTAGTCATGGCACGTGGAACTAGAACAGTCTACCTTAGCGAGCGAAATAAAGGGTTCAGTCCGACATTCCAACCACCTGAAGAAGGCAGGTGCGTACAACAGCCGAAACATTGTGATAAATATGGCAACAAAGATGAGGACAATAGTCCGAATAATGTAAATAGTATACATAATACCTCATCACAGAAATAAATACAGATACTGAAGGATCGGGTAAATATGGCAACAAAGATGAGAACAATAGTCCGAATAATTTAAATAATGTACATAATACCTCATATCAGAAATATAGACAGATAGTGGAGTATCGGATAAATATGGCAACAAATATGTGGATAATAATGTAAATAGTGTAAATTGGAAACACTCTGCATAGAATTTCAGTACAAGAAAGCATGCTTCATCGAAAGTCTTTCCTTTTATAACTGTTTTATTTTCTGCTCACAAATCAGTATGGTTATAGAAATATCTAGATTATTGTTATTATTATATTATAATTTTTATATATTATTATTTGTCCTCTTCGGAAGCCACTCGTCTAGGTTGTTGATATTATCAAGCGTGGCCATTTTTGAAAATTTTAAAAATATTAAATGTCACTGAAGATTGCCAACAGCGCTTCCACTTTTCGCTCCTTTGAGTTAATCGATAAAGGACACAGCAAAGGACAATGCTGTATCACGGTGGCCACAAAAACTTGTTTATCTTGAATGAAACGCAGTTTGACATTTCAACACCGCAAATCGACCTTCGCAATGATATTTGCGCGACTTTGCGAAAGAGAACACCACTTGTAAAAAAGGTGGATAATTGAGTCTTAGGCTGTTTGAATTTACAAGCAGAGAAGGAGTTTATGATGAATAAAAAAAAATACACAGATTTCGATTTAGGATATTGTTTTCTATATGATAAGTCGTTGAATACAATATCAGTATCAGCTTCATAAATAACAAGAAAAATGATATTGGATAACATATATTAGATATGTAATCTATAAAACTATGCGTAATGAACTCAAAATATATGATTTACACTACTTACATTGTTCGGACTGTTATTGTATTCACGACATTTCGGCCGTTGTACGCTCTAGCCTTCATCAGGTGATTGAATTTTGAATCGAACATTTTATTTCTAGTTCCACGTGTCTCCTCCAGATATCTCAGTTTTAGTTATTTCCTTTTATTAACTCAACTCTAGAAGTTTTTGTTCACCTCACAAGTCTTTGGGTGAAGTCACTGGATTACATCAACCAACGCTTCTATACACTGGGCCATGTATTCTTACAGACATCACTGTATGAATTTTTGAGACTTATTACCTTGTCTCAGTAACTTTTTTTTTTTTTACCAGAGCTCATATTACATTTTGTTGAAACAGGTCTTCACTTGTCGGATCCTCATAGAGAATCACCTGCAACATCAGATAGACGCTTTCCACAACTTTGTCGATTTCATGAAAACGTTTGATTGTGTATGGTATGACGGTCCCTGGAAAATTCTTTATGGAATTCATTGTAGATAACAGAATTATCTAAGTCACCCAGGCTGGTGGTATCTTTATATAAGATGCCACCAGCGCAGTTCTTCTGGGAAAACAAATGGGAGGATTCTTCCGTATAACAGTCGGCGTGAGACAGGGACGCATACTTTCACGCAAATTGTTCAACCAATTCTAGACACAATCATGCAAGACACCCTGAACGACCATATCTTTCAATCACTATCGTTGGTAGATCCGTCTGTAACCTACGTTTTGCAGAGGATATTGACCTCATAGCAGGTAGTAACAGTGAGCTCCACGACTTGACCAACAAACTTGTTGAAAATGCAGGAACATATGCAATGGAGGTCGGCTTCAAGAAATCCAAAGTAATGGTGAACAGCACAAACAGTAACACCCGTGTCAACATTACCATAAACGGAAATGCACTAGAGAAAGTGTCCAGTTTGAAATACTTAGGAGCAATTTTGTCTAAAGATGATACCTGCAACTTGGAGACCAGCACACGGACTGCCGCAACCATGGCAGCGATAGCCAAATTGACAAGAATATAGAGGAGCAAAATCAGCTTTCAAACAAAGTACAGAATGTACAAATCACTTGTAGTCTCCATTCTCCTATATGGATGTGAAAGGTGAACACTGTTGGTAGAAACAGAGAAAGATACAAGCATTTGAGGACAAATGCACGAGAAAACTCATTGTCAACTTATATTGCGAACAAAAAAAAAAGGAGAAACAATGAGTTTGTGCGGAAAAGGGTTGAACATTGTTTGGGACACCAGGAACATCTTGCCTCTGTCAAAAGGAGAAACATGGCGTGGTTTGGACATTTTACAAGGCACGACAGCCTGAGCAAGACAATCATGCAAAGCAAAAAACTGGTTGGACAATGTCAAACATTGGATAAGTATGATTATACCAGAATTGCTAATGGCTGTCGTTCATTGTCCGTTGTGGAGGTGATTCAATATGGCATTTGCATTCGGATGCCCCTAAGATTACTAAAGTCTAAGGGATGAAGATGATGATATGTGGCTATTTTCTAGAATTAAACTGCGATGCTTGATCTGAGATTTTGACCGTCCAAAGAAAGAAAGCTAATTGGAAGAACGGTGAATAATAAAAACAATCAGTTTATATTTTGACGATTAAAACAGATTTTTTAACAAGCCAAATGTTTTTGGGAAATAAAGAATTTCAATAACAAGGATAACTTTATCCTGATGAAAGAAATTTTTATGCAGAAAACTTAATTTTAAATTAATAACAAATCACAAATACCAATCACAACCAAACTTCACGGCCACATCACGTTAAAACATCGGTTCCCATACGATCACCGAAGTTAAGCAACGTCGAACCTGGTCAATATTTATATGGGTGAGCATATGGGAATACCAGGGGCTGTCAGTTTGGAGGTGCGGGTGGTGTCATTGATAATAGCTTGGAATTGTCAATTGGAGAGTCGTGTTCCAATTCTTCCTTATATTCCCTTACGCACAAATAACCTTGAGAAAGATATAAACCCACCTCTTCTCCTCCTATGTAATAATTAGGGAGACCTATATCTTCTTTTTTATTCTTTTATGTGTCGTTTCCCTTCAGGATGTAAGCGATCAAGGCCCTCCACACCTTCCTGTCCCTTGTAGCCCTTAATAAGTTTTGTCTTTTTGTTATTTCTCCCAAACCCTGATCTACCACCCATTTATTCAAGCTCATCAAGTATGTTACGCGCTGCTTTCCTCTGTCCCTCTATTCCATTCTCCTGTGAGTATCAGATTTTCCAAGCCCTCCTTCCTCATTACATGCCCCCAAAATTTCAACTGCTTCTTCCTGATGTTATGTATAAGTTTCCTTTTTGGTTCAATTTTCTCCAAAACCTCGTTTTTTCCTCATTCTTCTGTAGAACCATATTTCTGTTGTTTCAAGTCTCTTCTTCATCTTTGAGACTGTCACTGCCATACAAGAGGACAAGTATCACGTAACAGAGACTTGTATCGCTAAATCATTACTATCTAAAAAAAAAAAAATTCTTATAATCTAAAAATATTTCCTGGCTTTAATTAACCTGAAAAGGGTTGATAAACCATATAAAAAAAATCAATCATCAGAAAAAATGACCAAGAGTCTAATGGCGTCACATTTTCGAAAACTGATTATTTTCACCTCGTTTCTGTCGATAATTTTTTTCGGGCAGCCATCAATAAGGATTAAATTTCTATTTAAATATCTTTGAAGTTTTATCATTACATTCGTTATTTTTGTTGTCCTCCTTTTGAACTCTTTGTGAATTTGTTTTCCTTCATGTTTTATCTTCTTGTTTCAAAGTCTATTTTGTTCTTCTATTAGACACTATGTATGTTTAAATAATTATGATTAAAAGCTACTTCTAATTTGTTTTGTCTTCAACATACTTAAGAGGAGTATTGAAACAATCTTTGAGTTTACCGAGTCCTCTTCCTCTTTCGTTCCTTCTAACATATAATCTACGGATGTCTTTTCCTTCCATGTGTACAAAATATTTGTTTTTTCTCATTAAAATTTATCACTTTTCTCTTGCCTATTTTAGGAAAGGTCCTGAATATCTTACAATAGATAATGTCCAGTTATTTATCCAGACAACAAAGTTTCATGTTCTTTGGAAGAGATTAATTGCTGACGACTTCTCCTCTTCCTCTTCCTCTTTATTCTCCCCTCCTCCTTCTGCTTCACCTCCCCTTCCTTCTTATCCTATTAAAATTCTGCTTTTCTTTTCCTTCGTTAGTTTACAATCCCGTTACGTCCTACCAATATCTCATAAAGGGCTATTTTGTTTTGATTGCGTGAAAAAGAGCGGAAAAGACACTACTTGGTTTCAGTGGGAAAATAAAAGAAAGAAAGTGTTATGGGACCTTACCCATAATAACATAATGAACTATTCCATACGCAATAAATACTGCGCCTCAAGAGGAAGCAGAGAGTTCAGTCTGAAGTCTGGAGTAAGGTCCGTCAGAAGTCCGTCAGGTGTCCGTCAGTCAGTCAGAGCGAGCGAGTCAGTCAGTCGAGTCAGAGGCAGTCTGAAACAGAGTCGCGTTCAGACAATTACTACAAGACATTGGTATAGTGATACTGGTCGAGACTACATTGTTCTCCCTACTAAATCTGATTGTTCGTACTAACACTTTCTACTTCTGTATATATTCCTGTTTGTAATATATCTGTGTTATTCCATATCTGTGTTCGAGTTCTTCTTTATTGGTTCTACCTTGGACTATCACCGTGGTACAAGGACCTGGACCATAACAAGTGGCGACGAAGATTCGAAATCACACGTGAAGGACAAGCAACAAAATCCTCTCTCGTCAACGTAACAGAAAGAAAGAAAGGATAGAAGTGGAGAGAGAGAGAGAGAGAGAGAGAGAGAGAGAGAGAGAGAGAGAGAGATTAAGCTGATGAGAACAGATACTACTCATTGATCTAAACCAAAAGGCTGAGAAGCGATTCTATTTTTCTGCCGCCCCACAGTGGCAGGAAGTGACAGAAAGACAGTTTAACGTTGGGAGCCCGAGAGTGTACAGCCGGACCAGGTCCAAAAACAGCCCAGCACCCGCAACCCTCCGTTGCACGGTATTGCTACCTCTTCAGTGAAATGATGGAAATACTGCCGCGGGAAGCTCTCCCCCGAGACTGGGCACGTCTCGATAATGGCGATCGCGATAAAAAGATTCATTTTTTTTAGACCCACAGTATCAAACGATGGATACCGAATAAGGCAATTGACAAAAATCCAGTTAACATAAATAAAATAACATCGTCTGCTGAATTATGTTATAATTATCAAGAGAAATGTTCGAAAGACGCAGATTTGGTGATAAAGAAAGAAAAGAAAATAAGAGTGTTTCACGTTTCCTGACAACACCTCATAAATAATGGACTATACTATTTTGATTGCGTAGAAAACCAAGACGTACGAAAGAAAGATAGAAAAAAGTGTTTAACGTCTCCCGTCAATACCTCATAAATAATGGACTATACTGTTTTGATGGCGTGAAAAACCAAGACGTACGAATGAAAGAAAGAAAGAAAGAAAGAAAGAAAGAAATTAAAAAAGAAAGAAAGAAGTGTTTAATGTCTCTCGTCAATACCTCATAAGTGTTTAACGGTTGTTTGAATGAAATGGAAAAGTTATCAATTTTAAATCTTTTCATTTGTACCCCCTTACTTTTTAAAATAATGACCAGCATTTATATTTATGATTGTTATTGCAATATTTTTTTTGAAGTTGTTAATCTCAAATATTTAACGATGTGTTAGGAGAATTTCTACGGGTATTTTATTGTCAAAGAACTCGCCATGAGCTTATTCAAAATATTAACTGTCATAGATTCTTACCTACAGAATGAACTCTTCCTAACACTATGTATACTACGCTTCTCAAGAGAGAGGGACGAATCAAGCCGAGCTTCTCGACTTGACGGTCGAACTCTCTGCTTTTGAGCGGAAAGGAACCCGGACGAGGTTCCGCCGAAGGGCAGAATCTCGTTCGGGGAGAATGACCTACCCGATCTCGTTTATACGAGTTATATGGGCATTTTTTGGCTGAGCCTACGGGCTCAGGAAACCCACGATAAAAATGACCTTGTGTCGCATGCAACCCTCGTGGGGGGGTGGCTAGATACTGAATCAAGCCGAGCTTCTCGACTTGACGGTCGAACTCTCTGCTTTTGAGCAGAAAGGAACCTGACGAGGTTCCGCCGAAGGCAGAATCTCGTTCGGGGTGAATGACCTACCCTGATCTCGTTTTTACGAGTCATACGGGCATATTTTTGGCTGAGCCTACGGGCTCAGGAAACCCACGATAAAATGACCTTGTGTCGCATGCAACCCTCGTGGGGGTGGTTAGATACTGAATCAAGTCGAGCTTCTCGACTTGACGGTCGAACTCTGCTTTGAGCAGAAAGGAACCCGGACGAGGTTCCGCCGAAGGGCAGAATCTCGTTCAGGGGTGAATGACCTACCCTTGATCTCGTTTTTTACGAGTCATGCGGCATATTTTTGGCTGAGCCTACGGGCTCAGGAAATCCACGATAAAAAATGACCTTGTGTCGCATGCAACCCTCGGGGGGTGGCTGAGATACTGAATCAAGCCGAGCTTCGACTTGACGGTCGAACTCTCTGCTTTTGAGCAGAAAGGAACCCGGACGAGGTTCCGCCGAAGGGCAGAATCTCGTTCGGGGTGAATGACCTACCCTGATCTCGTTTTTACGAGTCATATGGGCATATTTTTGGCTGAGCCTACGGGCTCAGGAAACCCACGATAAAAAACGACCTTGTGTCACATGCAACCCCTCGTGGGGGGTGGCTAGATACCGAATCAAGCCGATCTTTTCGACTTGACGGTCGAACTCTCTGCTCTTGAGCAGAAAAGGAACCCGGACGAGGTTCCGCCGAAGGGCAGAATCTCGTTCGGGGTGAATGACCTACCCGATCTCGTTTTTTACGAGTTATACGGGCATATTTTTTGGCTGAGCCTACGGGCTCAGGAAACCCACGATAAAAATGACCTTGTGTCGCATGCAACCCTCGTGGGGGGTGGCTGATACTGAATCAAGCCGAGCTTCTCGGCTTGATGGTCGAACTCTGCCTCTGAGCAGAGAGGAACTCGATGAGGCTCCGCCGAAGGGCAGAGCCTCGTTCGGGGAGGTTGACCAACCCGATCCCGTTTATACGGGTTCTACGGGTATTTTTTTGCCGAGCCTACGGGCTCGGGAAACCCACGTTAAACTCGGCCTTGTGCCACATGCAACCCTCGTGGGGGAGGGTGGCTAGATACCGAATCAAGCCGAGCTTCTCGGCATGACGGTCGAACTCTCTACCTCTGAGCAGAGAGGAACCCGGACGAGGATCCGCAGAGCCTCGTTCGGGGAGGTTGACCAACCCGATCCCGTTTATACGGGTTCTACGGGCATTTTTTGGCCGAGCCTACGGGCTCGTGAAACTCACGTTAAACTCGGCCTTGTGCTACATGCAACCCTCGTGGGGCGGGGGGCTAGATACCGAATCGAGTCGAGCCGATAGTGGTTCACTCCAAACCAAACTGACAGTCATACTAACACCTTCCACATCTTGTATTATTATTTCGTGTAATATACCTTCGTTATTTCTACTCTTGTGTTCGTGTTGTTCTTCCTTGTAAATTTTCACAGGTCTTTCTTGTTATTATTATTATTATTATTATTATCATCATTATTATCATCATCATCACCATCATTATTATTATTATTATTATTATTATTATTATTATTAAGAAAGGATTGACAGAAGTCTTGCAATATTTTGCAAAACTTAGAGAAGGTCGCGATTTAGGAAAAGAAAAGACACATTGTTTAAGAATGCTAAACTTTGTTAAAATTATTAAACCCCGTGATTCGTTTATTCTTTTTCTTTTCTCAAATTGTGTTCTGTTCTATTCTTCTTCTTCTTATTATTATTATTTGTGTATGTTATGTTTTCTGCTTTGTATCCTGTCGAGCCAGATCCAAACTATGGTTCTTTTTATTGTTATTTGATAGCACTTATCTTAGTATATGGGATGTTCCTGGTAGAGCGATCTTCTGGGCAACTTGTATGTTGGTGTTACCTGGGACACTGTAAATAAAGTTGTCCAATGGTTTTCGCATGAGGCCCAGAAGTCCGATTACTATTGGTACAATCTCAGTCTTCATTCCCTACATCCTGTTAATGTCGAACTCCAGGTCTTTGTATTTGGACAATTTCTCGGTAATTTTCATGGTGGTGTTTTTTTTTCAGATAGTACTGCTATGTCAATAAGCATACAGTTCCTGAATTTCTTGTCTTTTAGGATAATATCAGGTCTGTTGGCTTTTATTCCACTTCCAGCTTGAATTGGTATGTCCCGGATAATAGTTACATCATCATTTTGGGTAACTGCGTTTCGTTGGTGCTCATACCATCACTCAGCGGTTTCGATTTTGTGCTTCTTGCATATCTTCCAGTGCACATATGCCGCTACCTTGTTATGCCTGTGGATATATTCCTGTTTTGCTAGGTTATTATTATTATTATTATTATTATTATTAGTGAGAGAGCAGCACACTGACAAAATGACGCCGGGGTACAAATATAAGAATCTTAGTATAATCCATCATTGATCCAATCTGATAAGGGTATACCTGCCATATGCATCACAGCCAAATGCGCACAATATGTTGACATGATTTTGATAAAAAGCAGCGTATAATCTTGCAGTTGGAACCCTATTAGAAATACCTTCAGGTCGGGTAACACTGTTCGGTCAGATGGTTCACGTTTGAGCGTATGTTTTATTATCGCGATTTGACTCTCAAGCTGCTTTGGTTGCCTTGCCTTTAAACTTAAATAAAACCAACATTCTCAACATCAGACGATAATTCCCCTTCCACTATTCCCGATCTTGAACAGAGATGCAGAGTGCTTCAGCCACTGTCCAACTGGTTATGGTAAGGGAACTGACAAGCAGATCTTTGGTGCCGAACGGGATATTTACTGTCTTAAGTCATTAAAAAAAACATGTATACGTTAACATTGCTAAAAAAAAAATGTGTTATAATATGAGAGCCATGACTGGTGCGGCATCAAAGCATATTTGTCATTTTTCTTTGTCTTCTTCGTCTTCTTCATTTTTTCTCGGACTTCTTCGTCTTTTCCTTACTTTACTTTTTCGCCATTTTCTTCTTCTACTTTGTCTTCTGTTTTTCTCTTTTTTTTCTTCTTCGTCGACTTTTTCTTCTTCGTCGTCTTTTTCTGCTTTGTCTCTTTTCTTCTTCCTCTTCGTCGTCTTTTTCGTCGTCTTTTTCTTCTTTTTTCGTCTTCTTCTTTTTCTCCGTCATTTTCTCTTCTTCTACTTCGTCTCCTTTTTCCTCCTTTTTCTTTTTCTTCTTTGTCGTCCTTTTCTTCTTCGTCGTCTTTTTCTTCTTCGTCTTTTTCTTCTTCTGCTTCTTTTTCTCCATCATTTTCTCTTCTTCTTCTACTTCGTCTTCTTTTTCCTCTTTTTTCCCCTTTTTCCCTTTCTTCTTCTTCGTCTTTTTCTTCTTCATCATCGTTTTCTTGTTTTTTTTTCTTATTATTAATGTAACAACTATTATTTACGTATACAATATTATAAATATATACATGTACAAATGTGTTTATACAGAATCTCTTAAAATATACAAATGAACTAATTCTGCAACTTTTGTAGTCATCGGCATTTTACATTTTCTCATTTGACACTTCCGTTACTGGGGAACAGAGACACAGCAACATAAGAGGTTTTTCTTGGTCATGAAATAACACAATTTCTCATTATGGGTTTTGTTATTCTTTCCACATAGACAAAAAGTAAATCCTTAGAATATTCAATTGTAAAAACTCATTATATTCTCCCCGACGTTAACACTAAATGACAGCATATGACATTCTCTCGTCTACAGTCATCCACACAATTAGTTCTGACCGATACATGTGGTAAGACTGTTAGATTTAATCATATCTTGACGTTTGCGAATATTTTGTTCAAAGATATGTTGTTTTTTTTTTAATTTCCGAGAGACTCAGAAAATCATGTTTTTGATATTTTTTTGTCGATGCTATAAAAATGATTTTTTTTTTTTTACAAACGTTATGCATTTTTCTAGGAGGCACGGTGGAGTAATGGATAGCGGTTCGGATTGAGGAATCGGAGAGCCGAGTTCGAATTCCAGTCGAATCCATTACATTCACTTACGTGCTAATACCCTTAGGAAAGGCATGACTCCTCTTCTTCTCCCCCCACCTATTGGATAGCAATTGGTCTACCGCAGAAAGAAATGGCAAGGAATTTGAAAAAAAATCTACCTCGAAATTTACATAATCGCCTAAACGTGTATCACGTATGGCATATAACTGACTGCCTAAACATTTTCCGTGAGGAAAACATACTTAGAAGTGATACAGATTGTAGTGTCACGGTTGATTTAGAACGTCGTTCCGGCAATATTACGCTAGGATTATATTAGCCATCCAGCGTCTCTACTATGATGGCTAATTAAAAAATAAAATAAAAGAAAGGTCCTCATCGTTATGTAAACGATCACTTTTGAGAAATATGTTGGAGGTCATGAAAGTATCCGCAAAAATATGAAGAGCAACGTAGAGAACGAATAGATTTACTAAGCATAGCTAAGATGTAGCACAAGGCCGACAACATTGAGCACCAAGTGAGGATCGAACTCACTAAACAGTGCGTAATTTGATCTAGGAATACAAGCTTCTGTGTACATTATTAGTTGTACGAATATGTTTCCTACCAACGTTGGTTGTCTTGATTTTATCGCCTAATCGGCTTCAGAAATTTGGTTAATTTTGTAGAAAAGGATGACACACACACACATATATATATATATATATATATATATATATATATATATATATATATATATATATATATATATATATATATATATATATATATATATATATATGTTGTAACCTAGGGAATAGAGTAATCACACGAAGGTTGGTAATGAACGATAATACTTAGGACAAGAACAACACATATAAGATTCGCCAGCTGCGCGTAGAAGTACTCAACGCTAGAAGTGAGTCAAGTGAATTCCATAATGAATCTCAAACTGCAGACAAACATACAGTATTTACTACTGTACTTATGTGAATGGGGACATACTCAATATCGTCCGTAGGTATGCTACAACACACACACACACACACACACACACACACACACACACACACACACACACATATATATATATATATATATATATATAGAGAGAGAGAGAGAGAGAGGAGGGAGAGCGAGAAAGAAAGAGACACAGAGAGAGAGAGGGAGAGAGAGAGAGAGAGAGGAGGGAGAGCGAGAAAGAAAAAGAGACACAGAGAGAGAGAGAGAGAGAGAGAGAGAGGATGTCCAATTCGCACATTAACCACATGATTTCAAACTAGTTCTTTTCCACTTTGCTCCCTCTTTCACAAAGATGCAAGGTTATAAGTCTGTCCCTACTCTATATAGATTTCCATATAAATTTCTATATAGATTTACTACTCGGAACACTTCAATATCAACGGCTATTTAAGCCCATCTTTTCTCTGCAGACTCATCATCTTAATTTCTTGCTCACGTTTTCTTCCATTTGTATCACATGACTTAGAAATCATTACAATTTTTGGATCTTAACCCTCTGCCTTGATTGGTAGTTGATCATTATTCTGACTTCGTAGAACTGGCTTTATGCAATTATTCGTAAGAACTTCACAAATCGTCGACGACAGCTGCCTGTTATTCGGCTGATTCCAGACGAAAATGGCGCTGATATGAAGAAATGAGATTCTTCGAGCTGCTGCTGCATTCGAAATAACAATTTGTTGAAGACTCTAAAGACTTTCAATTGTTGGTAGTCAAAAGTCTGTAGCATCTAAAGGAAGAATTCTTCAAGACTGACAAGAAAACAAATTCAAAAGGGTATCTAAAAGTTTCTATCATCTTTTTTTCTCTCTCTCGAATTGTACAAAAAGAGTGAGAAAGATAAACACTAATGACTCGTCAACTGTCGACAGAATTCTGTTTATTTGGGTTGATGCATTCTACTTACAAATAGTGGTTGAATGAAAAATGATATTCTAATTAAAATGGCGGATTTCATTCGCTCACGGTACACACTTATTTGCTGCAAGGATTCAGATGACACATAATGGAAGGTATTGGTAAAGGAAAATAAACAGTAATAACCTTGGTAGTTTTTAAAAATCCAATAATTGTTTTCTACAAGGTTATCCGGGTCATCATGCACCTCATGAAGGCCGGTAGGAAGAATGACTCAAAACCTTAGGACAACAAGAAAGAAACGAGGACAATAACTCTCGAGACGTAGAACGTTAGAATGTTAAGCAATTGTGGCCAGTTAGAAAATGTAGAACATGATATGAGTAGGTTAAATGTCAACATTTTAGGTGCATGTGAAACTAGGTGACCAAACAATGGAGACTTTGTCAGTGACAACCCGAGGATTATATATGCAGGCAGAGAGAAAAAAATCATTATATAGACATCAAGAAATAAGTCCTGGAATACTGTTATCTGAAAGAATTATTGTAGTTAAACTAAAAGGGAAAGCTTTCAACATATCTATTATAATAGTGTATGCACCGACAGCACAAAATACGTAAAAATAAATCGAATCTTTCTACTCTATACTAGACAACGCCAAGGCTCAGTGCAAATTACAAGACGTTATAATTATCATGGGAGGTCTAAATGCTAAGGAGCAGGAAGAGGCGATAGCTGGTAAATTCGGACAAGGAACCCGCAACGAACACGGAGAAAAATGGGCCCAATGGAGAACAGCCAATGAGTAGGTAATAGATAAAACATTAGCTCCAAGAACATCCAAGCCTGTTATGGACACGGAAAAACCCAGAAAGAGAAACTAAAAACCAAATCGACTAAATAACTATCAACAAAAGATTCAGGAATGCTGTTGTTCACTGCAAAACCTATCCAAGTGCCGACTGCGGAAGCGACCACCTCCCTATTATATGTAAACTAAGAATAAAATACGGAAACTGAATAAGTCTAACACAGCACCTAAATTGCAATACAAGAAACTCCTGAGCGACTCGAACCTGAAGGAAAAATATATGGACATTGCGAAAAGATACGAGGGACAAAATGGAAATGGAAACTCGAAATGGGACACATTAAAAGAAGCGTTAGTGTCATCAGAAAACGACGTCATCCCAAAGGAGAATGGAAAAAGAACAAGAAAAAAACAAAACAAAACAAAAACGAATGGATCATAAACGAGATTCTCGACATGATGCAAAGGAGACAGAAATCAATTCCAAGACATGGAACGGAATACAGAAAACTACACAATGAAATAAGGACCAAATGCAAGCAGGCTAAAGATGATGGCTTAACACAAAAATGTCCAGAAATAGAGAGAATGAATATCACAGATAAAGGAAATATGCATGGAAAATAAGAGAACTAGCAGAACAGAAAATATACTCGTTAACAGGCTGCATAAAATCCAAGGATGGAAAGCTCATATTAGAAAAGGAAAAAAATTCTTTAGCGCTGGAACAAATATATTACAGATCTCTTCCACGAGATAAGAGAACAACCGGCAATACACAGAAATACCGACGGGGCGGAAATACCAAAAACGGAATTGGCAGCTGCACTGGCCAAATTGGACAGAAACAAAACAGCAGGGCCAGACGGAATTGTAATAGAGATGCTGGCAGCCTTAGACGATTTCGGCATAGACAAGATTACAGAAATAATAAATGAAATCTACAATAGTGGTGACCTACCGGAAAACCTAAGAAGATCTATTTTCATAGCACTGCCTAAGAAACCAGGCGCAAACGAATGTGAACTTCATCGAACAATCAACCTAATGAGCCACATAACAAAACTCATCATCCGAAATCTAATGAATAGAGAGCGCAGAATCAGGCCAGAGATAGGACAAGAACAGTTCGGGTTCGTCAGATACTGGAATAAGGAACGCGATATTTATGCTCGGAATGTTCTCAGATAGAGCAATACAAATGCTGAAGGACGTGTACCTGTGTTTTATAGAATACGCAAGGGCGTTCTATAAAGTACGTCACAAAGATCTGTTAAAGCTGCTCAACAACCTTGACATATTCGGCAAAGACATTAGAATAACCAGGAATCTATACTGGCAGCAAACATCTTGTATATGGATAAAAAATGAGTTCAGCAGATATACAAAGATAGAAAGGAGTATAAGACAAGGATGGGTCTTCTCACCGGACTTATTCAGCTTATACAGTGAGGCGGTTATGAGAGAACTAGAAACTCTACTAGGATTCATCACTGGCTTTCACAATATTAACAATATAAGATATGCAGATGACACAGTGCTGATAGCAGACACGGAAAAGAAACTACAAAACTTATTACAGAAGGTAGCGAAGGAGAGCGAGAAGAAGGGATTAAGCATAGACCACAAGAAGATAGAATGCGTGGCCATCAAGAAAAAGATGAGCCCAAAATGACAATTAGAAATCGGGGCCACTAAAATGAAGTATGTAGGGAAATTTAAATATCTGGGAAGTGTTCTAACAGAGGACGGAACATGCGACACGGAGATCCGATGATGTATTGTGAAGATGGCCAAGGACGCATTTCAAAATCTAAGCAGAGTACTAAGAGACAGGAATCAAAGAAAAGAGTACTGAACAGTTACGTTATATCTGTCCTCTTCTATGACAGCAAAAGTTGGACAAGATAAAGAAGAAACTTGAAGCAACACAAATATGGTCCTACAGAAGGATGCTGAGGATACCATGAGCCAAACATGTGAGCAATGACAAGGTTTTGGAGAGAATGGAAACAAAGAGGAAACTTATACTTCACATCAGGAAGCGGCAGTTGAAATTTTTGGGATACGGAATGGGGAAGGATGGCTTGGAAAATCTGATACTCACAGGGCGGATAGAGGGAAAGAGGGACAAGGGAAGCAACCCTTGACATACTTAATGGGCTTGAACAAGTGGATGGAAGAACAGAGTCTAGGAGAAATAACATAAAGACAAAACTTATTATGAGCTGCAATGGACAGAAGGAGGTGGAGAGCCATGATCACCTACATCTTGAAGGGACCCGCCCATTATTATATAGGAATAAATTGTCGCTGCCAACACTTGAGTTTGAACATAGATCGCCAGTAAGCAAAACCAGGCGATCCCATTATTGAATTACATAGACCACGTGACCATAGAGGAACCGGATAAGTAAGAAATTGCGTGATGTCCAATTGATCACCATTTCTATTCTATCCTCTATTACTATTTAGATCGCTAGTTCTACTCTATCCTCTATTACTATACGGACCACTATTCTCTACTCTACTCACTATACTAGTTTTCTATTCAGATCACTGGTTACTTTTAATGAGCTTGAGTATGTAGATAGCAGAACAGAGTCTGGAATAAATAACACAAAGACAAAATTTATTAATAGCTACAAGGGACAGAAGAAGATGACGAGGTATGGTCACTTACGTCATGAAGGGACCCGGCACATAAAAGATGATCTGCGTGTGTAGATAACGTAAATAAAAGGCCGCTTAATAAATAAGCGTAGAATCGTCTGGCACGATATGGATTAATATGGATTAACCGAGTACCTGTGTGAATAGTATGCGTTTTTCTTTTATTATATCGTGTCATATCTATCTTTACATTGAAGTTATAAAGCAATTTAAGGAAGCATTACTTATGTTCCAAACTGAAATTTATTTAAAAACATTTTGGCTGTTTTTCGCTATTACTCCACTCTTTATGTTCAGGATTATCTTGGGAGGTTCAAGACATTGTCAATAATGGCTCTGACGGTAACGCCAGAGACGGGAAGGCAAGGCGGAGAGGAGAGCTTGCTTTCTCGATGACTACAAGTTATACTAAACGATACTAGAGAGCGAAATCAATGAACGCAAATTTTGACGAATCATTTTCGATGTGAAATTACCATTTTATATATAAGTAAAAAAGTGAAATTCAGACGTGAAATTATATATATATATATATATATATATATATATATATATATATATATATATATATATATATTTATTTGAAAATTATAACATAAATATGTTATAAAATCACTACAAAAATAGCCATTTCAACACATCTGGAGTCTTATCAAATTGATGGTGTTGAATGTAGAATAAAGAGTTTTGTAGGGATTTCATAAAATATCTATGTTATAATTTTCGAATAAATTATATTTTCTCTACTCTGTATTGAGCACTCTTTTAAGAATAGTAATTTTTGGTTATTGGAATTTATTTCGTATACACCAATATATATATATATATATATATATATATATATATATATATATATATATCCAATAATTAATAAAACGCTGAATGGGACACTAATGAGGTTT